TCCTTGCTTCTGCCCAGGCCTGTGGGGCCCACCCCACACAATCTGGTCACCATGGCACCCATCAGGTAATGAGAGAGGGTGCTCCACCTTGCGGCCTCCGGTTTCCCCAGTGGGCACTCGGTGCAGAAGACGTGAAGAGTGTCCCTGGTGCTGGCACCAGAGCCCAGCATGGTGTCCCCTTCCTGTCCCAACCTGGGGGCTACTCATCTGGGGGGACTCAAGTACTCCTGGTGCCCCTAGCTCAGGAAGGTACGGATAGGCAGCCAGCCAGGACGGGAGGTGGCTACTATATCCCCTGGTGTGGGAATTGGTGGTGGTTGGGGGCAGCAGGATGGCAGAGAACCCAAGCACCTGAAGCCCACTCGCCCATCTACCTGAGCCCAAACAGCCCCAGGGCCTTTGCACAAGCTGTATGTCTAGTGCCTGGGGGACTGTCACGCCCCTTCCCAAGTATTGCTGTTTGTTTGGGTGCAGACTTTGTTCAAGAGCAGACCCCATACCTTGTCGCCCACCTCAATGCCACATGGGGCTGCCCAGTTCCCAAGCCCCTGTTGCCCCAACCCTATTGTTGGGCAAACTCCTGAGAAGGGGATGGGGTGCAGGCATTTGATTCAGAAACCTTGGGTTTCTAGAGGGCATGTGAGTCAGCCAGGGGTGTGGGCTGCCTCTCCTGGCCTCTCCCAGACCACAGAAGGGTCCTCTGGGCTTGAGCCCTGGGTCCTTGGTGTAAATGTTCCATGCCTCAGTTTCTCTGCCCTATCAGCTGGAGTGAAGTCTGCGGTGACTGGAAGCTGGGGTCATTTGCAAGGTGTGTGTGTGTGTGTGTGTGTGTGTGTGTGTTGGGGTGCCAGCACTGCCCTCACCACCTCCCTTCCCATATCCCAGCACTGGACCCTCTTCTGAGCTCTGGCTCAGACATACCCCCATCAAAAAGGCCAGGATGTCCAATGGGGAAGCTCAGGAGGTCAGTTTATTGTGAGATCAGGTGCTGGGGCCAGGCTTCCAGGCTCTGGCCGAGAAGTGGGGGCTGGAGGAGGGCAAATGGTCCCCTCGGTCCCTTGGTGCAGACACAGCCTTCGGGACATCAGGTGGGGCATCAGGCCAGCCTCAGGCACTGGGGGCATACTGCAGGACCAGCCGGTCAAAGTCATTCTCCTTCAAAGGCAGAAGCAGAGAGGGGGCTAAGGACGAGGCCCGGCTTGGAGGATGTACCTGGGCCAGCCAGGCCTGGGGGAGGGGAGGGGGCCGGGCTTTGGGCTGACCACTCACCTTGGCCTGGTACTCCCTGATGAAAGGGTGAGACCTGTGGGAGTCCTTCAGCTGGGACAGGTAGCGGTTTGTCACCTGAAAAAACAGAGGGAAGGCCAAGTTGACAGGATTCAAGGACCCTGTCTCTATCACCTTACCCCCCTTGTCCCGGGGGCTCCTCACTCTACCCCAGAATGGGCAGGCCCCCCACTGTGCCCCCAGGGCAAGGACTAAGGAGCATGCCCACGCAGAGGGGTGGGATGAGTGGATCAGCCAGGCCTGGGCTCTGGGAAGAGGCATATGGGTAGGGAGCCACGGTAGGAAGAAGACTCAGGATTAGAACGTGACTCCTGGCTCCCCTCCCGCAATGGCCAGGGCTAAAGCACCTTGTCCAGCTCTCTCCCCGCGACTGGGGACGAGCAGTGATGCCTGCCCCCAGAACAGGGCAGACAATCACAATTCCTCCACTGACCAGGCCTCCCTGAGGCTGCGGGGAAACGAGGGAGGGGGAGGGGGCTTCTGCTCCCACCTCCGCCATGCTGTGCCCAGCCCCGAAGGGGCGTGGGGGGGGGGGCACCTGTACCTCAGGGGGCTTGCCCAGGTGCTGGGACAGGACGATGAGGTTGATCAGCGTCTCTGGGTGGCCGCTGTCCTGCAGACCAAGGGTGGGTAGAGGTCAGGGGGGCCGATGTCCTGCCACCCATGATAGGTATGGATGGAAGCCTCAGCAGTGGATGGACCAGGGACCAGAGGCAGAGTACAGCCTCCTGCAGCCCCCAGCCTCGGGCTGGTCCTTCCCCGACTGAGCCGGCCTCCTGTCCGCAGACAGGGCCAGGGGCACAGCTCCAGGTCTCCTGCTTCAAGGGTCATTCAGGAAACGGGTCTGGCGGCCAGGAGGCAGGGGCGGACTCGTCAGCCAGACTCTTCCCTTGTCCCCTGCCCCAGCAGCGAGACCCCGCCCCACCTAGTCCCAAGGGGCCTCAGCAGGAAGCTGCCCCAAAATGACCTAACAGCTGCAGGCCTGACCTCACCCACCGGGGCCCTAGAAGGGTAGGGCCTGGGGCAGCACACAGGCCGCACGGGGCGGCTACGCAGTGTCTCCGACAGGGCAGCCTCCTGAAGAGCCATGACCGAGGTGCGGGGCATGGCTGTGACACAGGCGACAGTGAGGCAGCGCCAAGGGGCCACAGCCCAGGGAATATTCCAGGGACAAGGGCGGGCTGGGGCACTTCACTGGCAAGTTTTCCCAAGGTCACCTGGAGCTGTCACACAAGTGTAAGGGGACACAGACCCCACCTCAGAGCCTGTGGAGACACAGGACCCCCCAGAGGGGGCGCGGGTGCTCCAGGGATGAGATCGCTCCAGCCCCCACCCTGGGCCAGCTGCAGGTCCCACCTGACAAAGCCCTCCCTGGTGACGACACAGCCTGTGTGGAGGTGGCGGGAGAAAGGCCTGGCCCCACGACCCTGAGCAGAGTGAGCTGGGTGTCTCGAAAGGGGGAGAATGATGTCAGCTCGTCACAAGAGGGGGTGGCCTGCCTGACTCCCCTCTCCACAAGGGACAGCTGCAGCCCCGACAGGCAGGCCTTTTCCGCAGCAGCTCGCTACAGGGCGGTGAGGGGGGGCCGGTGTGTAGCCAGAACAAGGGGTGTTGGGGCCAGGCACCCCCACTGGGCTCAAGCCCCCAAGGCCCAAGCAACTGGGGCTCTGCTTTGCAGCCGGCTCAGGGCCCCACGAGCCCTGCGAGCCCTCAGTGTAGGCGGCTGGCCGCCAGGCAGAACCCGCAGACGCACAGGCACCTGCACCCAGTGGTCAGGTCCCAGCCACCGCACGCCTGCCCCATGGCCGACAGTCGGCACCAGGCACCTTGTCCAGCGCCTCCTGCAGCGCCCCCTCGGCATCCCCCCAGCGGCCCTGGGCCATGTGGCAGGCGGCCTGGCCGTTCAGCAGCAGCAGGGTGGACGAGCACTTGTCAGCCAGCTCCTGGAAGGCATAGTAGGCGTCCTGCAGCTTGTCGCCACCCTGCAGGCACAGGGACACCCATCAGTCCCTGTCCCACACACGGTGTGCTCTCACCCGTCCCCTCAGAAAGCCATGCAGAGGGGCCCCCAGAGCGGCAGGCTGTTCCCCGGACCTCACCACTGCCAGGTTGACCCAGGCGGTGGCCAGCTGGGTGAGAGTGGCATCCTCGTCCTGGTCCTGCATCTTCTTCAGCTCCTTCCTGGGCAGAGGGGGTGACAAGGGCTTCTAGCCCTGTGTCCCCACCCTGCCTACCCCATCCTGACTGGGGACGCCTCCCCAGGTTCCAGCACACCCGCCAGGCCCTGCTGCCACGCACAGACTCCACTTGCTGGCCCGGGTCACACCCACGGCCCTAGAAGCAGGCCTTGGGTCTCATCTAGAAAACAGCCCTCAGCCAGGCCTGTCTGGAGGCTGGCTGCGGCTCTGCCCATGGCATCGGCTCCACCTTACAGCCCTGCAGGGGAAAACTGAGGCATGGACCATTACCAGGTTTGTCTCAGGCCAATGCCCACAGGAAGGCCATGTGGCGAGGCCTCACCTTTACCCAGAGGAAACGGGCCCACGGGGGCTCTGGACCTGGTCACTGCCTAGGACCCCAACCCCCACCCCACCGTCCACAGGGACAGGAAGGCTCACCGGGCGAGGTCCAGGCGGTCCAGCTTCAACAGGATCTGCACCACCATGGCGGAGCTGGGGGTGCGCAGAGGTCAGCAGGGCTGAGCGGGGCTCACAGGCCCTCACCCCACTATCACAAGCTCCACCCCCTGTCCAGCGGCACCAGGGACTGGGGACCAGCTACAACAGACTGAGGCCTTGCCTGCGGTCCGAAAGGCAGGCGGAGGGCACCCTGTGGGGCAGCGTGACCCTGCCACTGACACGAGGCCCCGCAGTCCTGGGTCCCGGGCTAAGGCCTTCTTGCGGGGAGGGGGCGCTGGACAAAACACGTCATGGGCCCAGAGCGAGGGATCGGCCGTCTGCTGCCCCACCCTGCGCACTACCACGGAGTTCTGGGGCCATGGGGGCGCGCACCACTCGAGGCTGTCGCCCTGGTGCAGCGTCCGCAGCGCGGCGTCCGGGTTCCCGTCGTGCAGGTACACGGAGGCAGCCATCAGCAGGAACGTCGTGTTGGTCACGTCCACGTTGCGGCTCATCTCCCGGTCCAGGTGCGCCACTACCATGTCCCTGCAAGGCAGTGCTCAGCCCTGGGGGGGAGGTGGGGGCAGCGGCGAGGGGTCCTAGGGCTGACCTAAGTGGGGACCTCTGCGGGCAAGAGCCTCTCAGATTCGAAGCCCCTGGTGGCACGAAGTGAAGCTGAGCAGTCGGGGGTGGGTACACCCTGCTCCTGGGAGCCAGGCCAGAGAGGGCATGGGGGGCCCAGCCCTCTGGTTTCCTCCCTTCCCCACCCAACCCCCACCCCACATGCATCTCACCTCTGACCCTCGCTGGAGAGGTACTCGGCAAGCATGCGCACAGCCTGCAGCTCCGAGGCTGACGTGGGCTTGATCTCATCCAGCACCACGCCGTACTTCCTCTGCAGGGGACACGCACTCAGCACGCCCACCCCACGGAGCCCAAGGGGGGCGGGTCCTCTGTCCCCAGCGGAGGGCTATGCCTCCTCTAAGCACCCTCTCACTGTCTTGGCTCCCCTGTTGTGGGTGGCAGGGCGCGGTCCCCTAGGGATGAGGGGAATAGGCTTTAAACGGTTCTGCTGACACCCAGACTGGTGTTCCTGTCATTCTGGGGGGGCAAGAAGCCGGAAGCCCACTTCCCACAGGTTACGTTCTAGGTGGCTTGAGCTTTCTTTTGGCCACAGACAGGTGGTTTCCAGGAAGTACGTGTACAGACACGTGTACCCACCCTCCAGACCAACACCCAGACACTGTCACTAAGAAGCTGGGGGCGGGGGGTGGGGGGGTGTGGGGACGGGGGTGGCAGTGGGGACGGGGGAAATCCACATGCCCAGCCCAGGACAGGACCCTCCAGGTGGGGAGGCCATCAGCCTGGGGTTGGCCCCCCAGTCTGAGGGAGCCACCCCAGGTCGGAGTGTGGGTCCAGACAGAGCCACAGGGGTCACCACCGTGCTACGGCTCATCTGGTCCAGCCACACATCCCTGTGAAGTGGCATGGTGTGGCATGTGCCCCCAGGGTGTGAGTGAGATGGGGAAAGGGTGGCAGACATGAGTCACAGGGACACGGGGCACAGGCTCTTGGAGTCCCAGGAGTCCTGATTTGGCACCAGTGACAAAGAGCTCACCTGCGCAAGGTATGCCCGGTACAGGAAGACGTCGCGCTCCACGTCCCTCTCCGGACTGGACAGCTGTGAGGACAGACCTGGGTTAGGCAAACTGTCTTCATGCCAGCCACCAGGGCCCTGGTGCCAGCTCTCTGTAGGATGACCTTGTGCCTGATGAGGACCTCACAGGCACCACCCAATCTCATGGCCCAGGAAAAGGCTCAGCTGCCCCCCCCCCCACGCTCACAGGTGGAGAACAGGATTCAAGAGGCTCCATGCTTGCAGCACCAAAGTCAGGCTGCAGCCCCCACACGGTCCCTCTAATGCTGAGCCTGCATCTCGCACTGAGTCTGCATCCCTGAGCAGAACCCGCTCGGGCAGATGGGTCGGAGTTTCGGGTGTGTCAATGCAGGTGGAAGCTACGGGACCCCACAGCCCACCCCGAGGCGGCCACCAAAGAAAAGACCCTGTGCGCCGGGGTCTGCAGAAGCAGAAGATGCAGCTGGAACTTGCCCGTGGAGGCCAGGGGTGGAGGAAGTGGGGGCTTCTCATGGGCCCGGGCCAGGTAGGGATGAGAAGAGGGACTTGTGCCTTTTTAAAACAAGCACCAGATGTGGGTGGAACTCTGGCAACCAGCTTGTCTCGTGAATCTGTCAAGTACCCCTTTTGAA